CTCTCTCTCTCTCTCTCTCTCTCTCTCTCTCTCTCTTCAATTCTTCTTTCCTTTCAACTTTCTTTCATTTAAATTAATCTTTTCATATTCAAAGAAAAATAATCCGGTATTCTTAGATCACTCAATTTAAAATGTTTTTTTCTTTTTTTAAACTTGAAAATTTGTTCTATAATCATTGAAAAGATTTATTAAATGACAATATCTTTTCATATCTATTTATATTACTATGGGAAAAATGGATTCTCTAGTTAGATTTTTCAAATCTAAATATATTTTTATGATTTGACAAATTTAATTTCCAATTTTTCATTCTAAATATTTCTACTTCTTAACCACAAATTAAAATTTGTTGATAAAATGTAGATGAATTTTATGCAAAAAACATTTTCCAAACTTTATAAAAATTTTTTTTTCAATCATAATTTAAAACTATCAAATGTACTATTTATAATCCATTTTTGTTTTTCTCTTTTTTTTTTTGCTTTTCTTCAATTACCATATATATATATACATATATTAATATATCAATTATTTACTTTAAAATTGTTGTTCAAATAATTTTGGTATTTTAATGAAAACATGTGAAAATTTATTAAAATTCAAGATGACTTTATTTAAAACAGTTTTAATTATGTTATTCTGGGAAAAAAAAAGAACGCACAACATTTACCAAATATTTTAGCTTGTCATTTTTTAACTTTTTCCTTTCATTTTAATTATCAAATATATTTCATCTTGGAAAAAATCAAATTAAAAATTATTTTTTAAAAAAAAATGAAAGAAAGTGAAGCATAAAATATATTTACTTACCACATAAGTAACAGTTCCAATAATTAATTCAGCAACAGGAAGATTTTTAGAATCCAATGATGTATGTTCAGAGGAATATTGTTGATGCATTTGATGAAACGAATGTATACTCCATTGTGGATCAGAATCATTAATTTTTACATTAATAATAGATGAATTAAGAAGTTCTTCTTGAACTGATAATATTTTTGCAATCACCATCATTGATAATTGTTGTTGTTGCTATTATTGTTATTGTTGTTATTGTTGTTAGTATAATTAATCTTCAATAAAATATGAAAATCCTTTTTTTTTTTTTTCTCGTATTTCAACAATAAATTTAATGAGAATTATTTGCAATATTTTATCATTAATTTGTTATTCTCATAACAAATAATAATTATTCTCGTAATCATAACACATCCCTGGAAATTTTTATAAATAAAAATAGAAATAGGAATAGGAATAGAAATGGAAACGGTGATACAAATATAAATAAATAAATAAATCCATATATATATATATATAT